ATGTTCTCTTTTCTTTATTTATTATTCCATAATCCCCCGATATATTGCCAACCCCTCTTGCTATGTCAAAATTAGTTTTAAAGTATTGTTCATACTGATCGGGTTGTCACTCACATTGTCGCCATTGTGAGGTATACTTAGTATACCCAGTGTATAGTTCAGTGTTGAGTTTGTGCCTGATAGCGGCCTTAAGTTCTTTAAATACATGTTTGTCTTCGTTTTATAGCAAAGACATTTGTTTCGGGCAATAAGGACAAATAACAATACTTCGACACTCCCTTTGCACAACAATCAGCGGAAATGCATGAAAACACATACATGTAGTTAAGGAACCCGGAAACCGGACAACATTTCCGTGTTAATTTTGTTGTTTTTTTGTTACCTCAATGTGAGGAGAATTTGCACGAGAGTGTAAAAAAGTGAGGTAAAAAAAAAGAAGAAATTACAATATGAGAGTATGAAAAAGTGAGAGAGAAAGAAATGAGAAAGTGTTGATTTGTGAAGAAAGAAAATAGAGAATGTTTTATGTATTGTGGGTTGTAACTGGGGCATCCCATCCCCAGACAACCCACGAATGATGTATGCATGCCTGGGTTATTAAATGTATATATAGAAAAAAAGAAAAAAAAAACTTCTGCAACGTTTGACGTAGAACAATATTTTGAATAATAAAAAATGAAAAAAGTTCCCTTGTGACTACTCATTTCATTTGTCTTTTTTTCAAATGTCTTCCGCGCTTTGTTTATAACATGTACTACTTATTTATGAAAGCAAGAATCGTTTATTCGTTATCTTTATTTTCACAGTTAATTCAATTTAGTAATCATTAAGACCTCTGGAGTATACACCATGCATGACTAATAAGTAAAAATTTAATCACAGATGTAGAAATATTTAAATGAAAAAACAATCTTATGATCGTGCTGTGAAAAATGTGGAAATAACTATTGTAAAAATATTTGAAATAAAAAAGGGGTATCTGACCAATAGGAGTTTACATGTCCTATCTAGTTTCCGGACACTGTTAATATGTTTGTTTCATTGTAAATCATGATCACTAAGAATGTTTTTGTAAGAAAGAAAATTAAGTTTACACTGATATGCACAGGAAATGAGTTCAACAAAGGGAAAAGAAAGGTTTTTTCACATATTTTTTTATTTCTATTTTGTTTACTGCAAATAGCATGTACAAGACGCAAAAACATATCCCAAACAGAACGGGCTTATGATTATAAACAGATTGAGACAAATTGAACCTTCTCAGAACATACTGTTATGTAATTAGAGAAAATATTAATAAAAAAATAGGTCGTGTTCGTTTCAAGAATAAAACAAATATTTTGATAAAACAAAAAAAACAGCTCGCCTTGAATTTCAGTTTTCGCTAACACGAGAGGACGTGATTAATGCATTTCTACAGGACTTTATAGCTTGCGTACCGCTGAGAGATACATATATTTTTTGAGACATGTACATATATTGCTGTGCACTGTCGTATCACTAATAACGTCACGGAATCGGGATTGCATCTTACTGAAATATACATCGGAACATAAAAGGTAATAACAATTGTCTCCGTTCTTTCTTTTTTTTCAGACCTAATGTTGTTAGATGATTTATGACAAAAATAAAACGTGTACTTGTACATGTGTTATTACATGTACATAATGGAAAACCACGTGCCAAATGACATTATAGGCAATAAAACATATAAAATATTGATAATAATATTGACGTGTTTCTATATTTGTTTTTACGTTATAATAAACTCGTTGAGTTATGTAGGACGTTTATTTCCAAAATCTTTTTTGAAGCTTTACTTTTCCTAAAGAAAGAAAAAATGTTGGTTTCCAAAACATTTCAGAAAAAAATGCCTTTCGGGCTTTTTAAATAGAAATCTGTGTGTAGCAGAGAACCTTTTCACTCAATGAGACCTAAGTTAATAAATACGACATATAATGTATGTAACCTTTCAGGGGGAAAAAGATATATGTTTCATTAGCATAATATATGTAGCGCGGTGTATATATGAAAGTAATTACTTCGCTTAAGTTCGGAAGTAATCGGGTGGTAGAGGTCACGTGGGTAATAGGCCACGTCCAGCCCACGATTCCGTGCTTCGTTGTCTTAAACTAGATGTTAGAAACACTTGGTACAATGTAGCTGTACACTGTTAATAGGTCAGCGTAATGGTCAAGAGGTTCTGACTTATGTTCTGTATTAAGATTTAAATAAGGGTTCATGTTGACTATTTGTCATATATAAAGTCATATACAATTTACAACAACACTCATTTACATCTTACTAAGAACGTGTAAGTAAAATTTAATTGAGTAACTTTCAGTAATTAGTATATGTAATTAACAATTAGATAAATATGTTTATTGATATGTACGAATGTTTATTATAGAGAAAGATGTTATTGTATAGCATTGTGTAATTGTTTTATAAAAATATATGAAGTAGTGGGAAAATGTCAACTTTCTTATCATTAAGTAAAACTATCTATAGATCAATTGCTTATATCACGTTACATATATATATATATATATTAAAATAAAGCCACTTATGCATTGTATATTATTCATAGCATTTAGTTGCCTCAACGATGTATATGTATATTAAATCGTAGTTATTTGTATCCGATATACATGTATTTTAACTTCATATAACGTTAATATCAAATCAAATATTCAAAATTCATTTTTATATTATACGTGTAAAACTATGAGCATATTTGTGCCGATTTTCTAAATCAATTTGAATCTCGGGGTAAGTGTATTTTATTTGGTGTTTATTTTCAGTTTTAATAATTAAAAAAATAAAACAGCTTCAACTTTTACCTGTATAGAAAGCGGCTTGCGTCTTGGTAATCAAACATGTTTAACTGAAGCACACTTTTCTGAACAATTTATCTATAAAATTAATGACTATTTTTTTTATTTCATGTAACGTGATGGACAGGCCAGCTTTCCTATTAAAGAGAAACTTTTTGTTGACACGGAAAGTAAGTCATACATAAATGCCATTTACATATCTGTATTGCATAACACACATTGGTATCAGATTCACTCATGACCTTCAAACAACACAGAGAAGAGGGGGTCTGATGCAGACACTGATATTTAACGTTACGGACACATATCGGGTCACGTGCGCACGTGTACGTGCTGCAGGTGTCACAGTATCGTACATCTGCCCTGCCTTAGCTAATAAACAAACGATAAATGGCACGTACAACTGTATATTACTGACACCGTTAGACAAGCTAAACTCAATTTTAAAAATATCGAACGCCAAGGAATTGTTCTTAAACATAAACAATCGCTAAGTTCCAAACGCCTCGCGTGCCGACAGTGTATGATGAGAACGTAATGCGATAATTGTACAAAACTGTCGATTCCGTCATCTCGTTCAACACATGATACGCCGCTGGATAATTTATCACATTGACGAACACGCACCTGTTCATCTTTCAAAATCGGTTACCTGTGCTCTTTGATGTTAATTGCACAGGTATTTTCTTTATTTTATATCAGGTAGTCGAATGTTTCATTTCCGGCGCATTGTTACATCCGTAGGTACAAAATGCACCGATGGCGTGTGGCGGAAATATGTCAAGATCTCCGAAAGGAAACTCCATAGTTACGTGTATCATATGGCTTGACTACAGGTACTGTAATATTTATACTCTAATAGTCGGTAACATATGGCTGTTTGATATCGATGCATCCTTCTGTTCATACAGAATTACGTCCGTCCTTATTTAGCACCATATGAAGAAATGTACCTTAAGATCAAATGGCAAACCGCTTAATCAATACTTGTTGACTGGTATACCAAACCATTGATTGTTTAATTGGAAGTAGAGAGCGTTATTGCTTCTTGGTTACAATTAGAATTACGTTCTGCCTTTTGCTTCGTTCGTTATATTTTTGATACGGTTTCCTGTTGCTAAATTAAACACGATTTTGAAGTACATGTATTAATCCAACAGCATTTGGAAGTGTTTTTTCACGCATTCCAAGAATTGACTTGATTTAAACTCTTCTTTATACACAATTACCCTATGGGTACCACCGGAGAATTTTATTGATAGACTTAAATGCCTACGTGTTTCCCCGAATCGCATATCGAGCGCACAGAACCCCCAAGGTAACCAATTCACCGAATCATTTATTGGAACTGATGTAACGAAAACAAGACAAGGAGACCATGTTTAGAATTGTCAAGTATGTAAGCTTGTACGAGACACTCATGATAAAAGCGATAGCGAACGAGTTTGAAATACGCCAAAGGAAATAGCGACTCTGCCGTCGCGAGGTTTGATTTTCATTTATGCGTTTTCTGCAGGGATTTGAAGACAAATGGATACTAAATTATCGTTTTCTCCCATCGGATGACATAAATGTCTTGTCCTTAAAAATATAATGGCTCAAGGCTATGAGCTCATTTTTTTGCTCACACTGATCCATCAAAATCCTGATTTATGATTCTGTTGGCTTGAAGAGTCGGTGGTACCTTGCCTGCAATCAGGGAGAAATTTTAGCACGGCAAGATTGTTTGTGTGTTAAATAGTAGCAACAAGTCTTAATAAATTCCAGTATGTTACACTCAAAATCATGACTTTTTGACCCAACTTGAAGATTTATAAGCAACGTGTATCACTCCATGACGACGCGTACGCATCCGTTCGTTAGCATCACGCTATTTCCGGTAAGCCAGTTCCTAGACTGTCGTATGTCTTAAAATGAATTCGACAACTAATGCATCATTTAAAGACAATTTAACGCTTACGGACGTCGGAATAAAACAAAAATTGTAACATTTGGGGGAAGCATTAAAAATTACTTAAATTCCGGTATGTGTTCAGCGGAATTTTTTACTGCACAAACCAATGTAGCACACACACCCTTTAACTTCTTCTGAATTAATAAAGTTCACAGTGTAGCTATCTACCACAAGTTAGTGTTACGTAGACAGGTGACATCACTACTTACCTTTGACCCAGACCAGCCTCAGTACCAGGCATACTAAAATCACCGCTAATTCCATGATACAATAGCAGAACTGACGTGTTCACAGCACACTTGTAAACAAGAACTACTCCTAAAACACATGTGGTTCACGTATAAAACTTTCACATAAACATCGTTGTTGATAGTACTCCTACAAGGCCCTCGCGTGCTCCGCTCTGTCACCAGTGAGACCGACACAGCAACTAGTGCTGTAGTCCTAATGGGGGTCTATCGAACGCCAATCAACACACATGTATAGTGATACGCTACACCTGTAAGCGATTTCTACTTATATTGTGTGTGAAAACAACCTATTTCCTCTCATCTAACACTTTACATACGTCTTTAAGGTGAATGGGCATTGACGGTAGCTTTGCGATCTTAGCCAATCGCAGGATACGTAACAAAGGGCATCATCGATTGATCGGTAGAATAGCGGAGTTTCCCTACAGCCCAGTCGGGACGATAGATAGAGGATTTTAGAGACACGAGGAGACAGGGAACGGCTGTGAGTGATTTAACAGCAAATACAAACAGTAGGATAGGTACAAATGAGAGGACCCCTACAAACCTGTTTCAGTTAAGATATCGAAAACACGGGAACAGCTAATGGCAGTTATCCATCAAATTATCACAGATTTCTACTCGCTGAAAGGATACAGTGTGGAGGTATCCACACTACGTATATAGACTTGGGTATTTCGTCTGAGAAAATTTAGTTAGTGAACTAATCGAACCGCTTGATATATCGTCATTGGCTTGAGTTAGTACGGTAATTAAATGTCATGAATCTTTTAATGTGCTAATGTATTAATTCAAAGATATGTATTGATTTCTTTCCTCTCAGACGAACCTTACCACAGACAAAGCGAATGAGCTAGGAATCTGTATTATTAGATCATTACCAATTAATCTAAAAATCGCCATTATCCATATATATGGTATTTTTTAATAAGTTAAAAAACGAAAACGGTTGTATACTTATGGCCCTTCTCTCGCGATGATGGAAATGGAGGTAAACTAGATAAAGTCAAAGTCTAATCAAAGAAAGTCAGCAAAACGAAAAGCCAAGCTCAAGTCAAAGAGGCGAAACATATACATTGTTTGACCTACATTTTCTAACTTGCTGTAATACCTCGCAAGATTCATCATGTGAAGTTTGCTGATTGCCGGATTTTTAGTAATAGGGTAACTGGGATAAAATACTGAATTCAAACCAAAGTTGGTGAAGTGGAACATGTAGGTCACAGTGACCTACATTTGTCTCATTGCTGTAATAATCCTGAAGATTCATCTTGTGTAGTTTGGTAAATACTAAGCCCGTTTTCCGAAGCCGTTCTCATGTACAGACTCTATGCTGAAGTAACATTTCTTGTTCCGGTTATGAATGAATAAATATCCACATTTGAGTAATTCTTTTAGAGAATTTTGAAGCCAAATACTATTTTTTGGCATGTAGATTTTTTTTACCTTGACACATGATTTTTCCAAGTTTGAAATAAGTTGGCTTGATGGAAAAAAAAAACATGCTTAAGCATGACATTTTTTTGATGAATACTTACCATGGCAGTCTAATATTTAGATTAATGGAGCCAAACCCATCGTGTAACCACAATTAGTGAAGTGAAAAATAAAGGTCACAGTGACCTACATTTGACATATTGCTGTAGTAAACCAAAAAAAAAGTTTTCATATATGAAGTTTGATGACTGTAGGACTTCTAGTGTATACTATAGCTGTCGCACGGACGAACGGACAGACGGAGAGGCAAACACTCACGTCCCCTTAACTGAATTGCGGAGGAATAGAAATATACAACAGTATGAGCGCACAGAGAGAAACAATCGAAACTGAAATATCGAAACCAAAATATGAAAAAAAAATGGGCCTAGGTTATGTTAAAGCAAAAAGTTATTATGCGCATCCAAGAATCATTCGTTGCGGAACCACGTGTTCCGAAAGAGTAAGCGCTTCCGGTACCACATGTGGCAGTTAAACATTTAAATATACCGTTTTCTACCATGACCGCCACATCCTATATGATACACTTATTGTCATTTGCGATGTTAGGCGGAGATGCGGGTTAATATTATATTCATATTTCCGAAGGGTAATATGGAATTCATGAAAGTGACGCGAGCCCGCATCTCTTGTCTTACTCTGGTACTCTTGAGTACCTTAATCTTTTATGTTGATATCACCGTCAAGAATATTGCTTAGTACCGTTTTGTAAAATTACAAGACCGTCTGGAGTATATATTGGTTAATACCGTTTTGTAGATTACAAGACCGCCCGGAATATATTGGTTACATATGTAGTATCGTTTTGAAGATTACTCGAGCCTATTGCACCTTTGGCCTGGATAATTCAGAATTCAAACTCGTTGGGGTAATATAAGTAGATTCATTACCAGTATTTGAACGTTGCATTGCTCAGAACAAACAAGTAATGCAGTAAACTATTAAAATATGTTTGTAGTCTTTTATAGCTGTAAAATATCACACGTGTATATTTATTGTTCTTGAAGACGGGAAACATGATTGTTTGATCAACAGGTAAGGGAACTGTATGCTGCTTCGAAACATAAACCCCAAGCTTTATTTTCTCCGCTCTTCTTGTGGAGGAAAAGGGAATGTCTCTCAAGTACAAAGCTAAAAACACCCGTAATCCTATATAAAATTAGAAACAACCACACTTCTACCTTTTTGAAATGTGGTCGTCCTTGAACACCACAACAACACCACAGGGAGGGTCGGGAACATCGTTAATAACAGGAGAGAAAATATATTGTGCTTCCACATACGATCGAACTACATGAACATGTAGTGCTCTCGCCACGCTACCACTTGGGGTAAAGGGAAATTCATTCTAGCAGTGTTACTATTTCGCCCTTGTCTTATGAGGATGTGTCTATTGACACGGTGGAATATTTGGTCCCTATCTGCTGACATTGTTGTTTTATTGTGTCATAATCAGTTGACAATGGTATCTTTTGTCCTTATTGGTTAACACTGGTATATCTTGCACTTGTTTATTGACGCCGAAGCGTACTGTCTTGATCATGAACACCATTATATATTTTGTCCTTGTTTGCTGAGGCTATGGATTATTTTGTCCCTGTTTGTTGACATTGTGGTATAATTTGTCTGTGTGTTGATGCTGTAGCATACTGTGTTCTTCCTTGTTAAAACTGGTTTATTTTGTCCCTGTGTGTTGACGCTATATGTATAGTTTGTCCTTGTGTGTTGACGCTATATGTATATTTGTTCTTGTTTGTTGACGCTGTGGTATATTTTGTCCGTGTTTGTTGACACTGTGGTATATTTTGTCCTTGTGTGTTGACGCTATATGTATATTTTGTCCTTGTGTGTTATCACTGTTGGATATTTTGTCCCTGTGTGTTGACACTGTGGTATATTTTGTCCCTGTGTGATGACACTGTGGTATATTTTGTTCCTGTGTGTATATTTTGTCCCTGTGTGTTGACGCTGTGGTATATTTTGTTCTTGTTTGTTGACACTGTGGTATATTTTGTCCCTGTGTGTTATCACTGTGGGATATTTTGTTCTTGTGTGTTGACACTGTGGTATATTTTGTCCCTGTGTGTTGACGCTGTGGTATATTTTGTTCTTGTTTGTTGACACTGTGCTATATTTTGATCTTGTTTGTTGACACTGTGGTATATTTTGTCCCTGTGTGTTGACACTGCTATATTTTGATCTTGTTTGTTGACACACTGTGGTATAGTGTGTCCTTGTGTGTTATCATTGTGGTATATTTTGTCCCCGTGTGTTGACACTGTGGTATATTTTGTTCTTGTTTGTTGACACTGTGCTATATTTTGATCTTGTTTGTTGACACTGTGGTATATTTTGTCCGTGTTTGTTGACACTGTGGTATATATTGTCCCTGTGTGTTGACACTGTGGTATATTTTGGTCTTGTTTGTTGACACTGTGGTATAGTGTGTCCTTGTGTGTTATCTTTGTGGTATATTTTGTCCCCGTGTGTTGACACTGTGGTATATTTTGTTCTTGTGTGTTGACACTGTGGTATATTTTGTCCTTGTGTGTTATTACTGTGGGATATGTTGTCCCTGTGTGTTGACACTGTGGTATATTTTGTTCTTGTTTGTTGACACTGTGGTATAGTTTGTCCTTGTGTGTTGACACTGTGGTATATTTTGTTCATGTTTGTTATCACTGTGGTATAGTTTGTCCCTGTGTGTTGACACTGTGGTATATTTTGTTATTGTTTGTTGATACTTTGGCATATATTGTTTTTTGTGTGTTGGCACTGTGGTATATTTTGTTCTTATGTGTTGACACTGTGGTATATTTTGTTCATGTTTGTTATCACTTTGGTATAGTTTGTCCCTGTGTGTTGACACTGTGGTATATGTTGTTCTTGTGTGTTGACACTGTGGTATAGTTTGTCCTCGTGTGTTGACACTGTGGTATATTTTGTTCATGTTTGTTATCACTTTGGTATAGTTTGTCCCTGTGTGTTGACACTGTGGTATATTTTGTTATTGTTTGTTGATACTTTGGCATATATTGTTTTTTGTGTGTTGACACTGTGGGATATTTTGTTCTTGTGTGTTGACACTGTGGTATAGTTTGTCCTTGTGTGTTATCACTGTGGGATATGTTGTCCCTGTGTGTTTACACTGTGGTATATGTTGTCCTTGTGTGGTGACACTGTGGGGTATATTTTGTCCTTGTTTGTTGACACTGTGGTATATTTTGTCCCTGTGTGTTGACACTGTGGTATATTTTGTTCTTGTTTGTTGATACTTTGGCATATATTGTTTTTTGTGTGTTGACACTGTGGTATATTTTTCCTTGTTTGTTGACACTGTGGTATAGTTTTGGTGTGTGTGGTTTCATTGTGGTATATTTTGTCCATGTGTGTTGACACTGTGATATATTTTGTCCCTGTGCGTTATCATTGTGGTATATTTTGTCCATGTGGGGGGACACTGTGGTATATTTTTCCTTGTTTGTTGACACTGTGGCATATATTGTTCTTGTTTGTTGACACTGTGGTATATGTTGTCCTTGTGTGTTGACACTGTGGTATATTTTGTTATTGTTTGTTGACATTGTGGTATAGTTTGTCCTTGCGTGTTATTGTGGTATATTTTGTCCATGTGTGTTGACACTGTGGTATATTTTGTCCCTGTGTGTTGACACTGTGGTATATTTTGTCCCTGTGTGTTGACACTGTGGTATATTTTGTCCCTATGTGTTGACACTGTGGTATATTTTGTCGTTGTTTGTTGACACTGTGGTATATATTGTTCTTGTTTGTTGACGCTGTGGTATGCTGTTCCTCATGTTTGGCGGCAATGGTATCTTTTTCATTGTTTGGTGACGATGTGATATATTTTATCATTCTTTATGACTTTATTGTA